GGGTATCCCTCACAACAAATAACCTGATAGATTCTGGAACATACATAGGTAAAAATGAAATTGAAGAATAGAGACAACTAAGCAGTAACATAATTCTAAGGAAAAAGGATTCAAAGGCTTTCTCCATGACCTCAAAACAAAAAAAAGATAACGTGAAAACTATTTGAAATAAATATAAAGATTTGTATGGAGAACATTTTAGCAACAGGATATTTGGGCCTTAAAAATATAACTGCCTCTGTAGTGAAATCCAGTCCAGAAACTACTGAATACTGTTTAAAACTGCAAATGGCCATTGGTATGATTTCTTTTCATTACCATAATCATGCTGCATACTGATTACCCAGAAGAAACAAAAAAAACGGGTCACTGGTTTTCCTTTTCCAGGAAATGCCCACTAGCTATTCCTTACTTTTTGGAAAAATTATAATCATGAATATTGTTTTTAAATCAGCTTTTAATAAAATTGTATTTATACCAAGGAATTATGATTTTACAAAAAAAAAAAAAAAAAAATGTTAATACTTTTCTCCCAAAATGCTATAAGGACAGTGTTGTAACTTTAAAAAAGTATACAAGTGCATTAGAATGTGATAATAGCAGCCAGTTTTACATAAATTATAATAAAACCAACTTGCTCACTTTTTATGAATTAACTGTACAAGATACTGAAGGAATTATTGAACAATGAATTTTCAAGATTTTTTATGACTTTATATTCCTATAAAATCACAATATACAGTTTATCATCTTATGGAACTATGAACAAGTGTAAATGACAAAAAAATTTATTTTGACACTCATATCATTCTACTTAATACCAAGAAATGCCAAATGAGTAAAAATGGCTAGAATGAGGCTCCAGACAAGCTTAAAAGTAGGTCATGCTTGCAAAAAAACTGTCTCTTCTAGAACACTCCATAAGTGATTTGCTTAATATTTGACATTTCTTAGTTGTAGATAAAGCTTAAATCCTAAAGATAAATGTCCAATGACACCTATTCAAGCATCCCATCCAGCGACATACTGTATAACCATACGTTCTGCAAAAAAACTTTTTATTAAGAAACAAAGATTGTTTCATTAACTTAATCCTAAAGGCGGGTACAGATCTGAGCATGTACGCGTATGAGGCAAGTCGAGGCCGAACCGAATGCCTCCTACACGAATAGTGGACGCACGAGGCGCTGTTCGTCACTGATCCAGTAAATTCGCGAGCACGCAACCGTATACCCAGAAAATGCGTAAAATTAAAACAAAAATGAAGGATGACGCTGAGGTCGCGGAGTTGAGTGCATGTTTTATTATTTTATCCGACACATTAAAGAAAAAAGGAGAGAAAGGAATAGATGGCCGATTTCCTACCAAGGATATTCTTTTTTATGGTTTTGTAATAGAACTGGCGTTTTGCTCTCTTTAAATCCAGGAAGCAAAACGTTTTCCTGGTTTCACTCCATGCAAAATAAATCTTAAAAACTCGCTATAATCTGTACGGTGCTGTATGGTACAAATTCTCTGCCCAGACTGAGCACGTACTGTGCATTGCCTCCCGTTGATGTACCGCCAACAAACGGATCGGGGCGAGGCCGTACGGCACACACAAGGAGGCAATTTGTCGCTCCTCGGAAGCCCGTCCACACCTGCATGCTCATGCGTCCTCGGCTTGCCTCATACGCGTACGTGCTCAGATCTGTACCTGCCTTTATATGAACATTTTCTTTAGAGGAACATAATACCTTATTCTCGAAAAAACCAGAAAAGCTTAAAATAGGAAAAATTGAATGTTTTAATTTACAGTAAGTGGGTGTATTCATTCAGTCAAAAACAGTCTCACCAAATTTCAACACTGGCCGAAAATGTATTATATTATATTGCGGATGTAAAATGAAATATTTTTTTTTTAATTCCTACAACTAGTCAAATAGAAATTAAGAGCTGAAATTCAGCATAGCTTTACACCCTTTTATTAACGAGAGCTAAAAACACTTTATTTTTAATAGGATTTTCGACGATTTTATTATCTGTATTTTAATTATAGTAAAATGAGATCGAGGAAATCAAATTATTTTATTTATTTACGGAAAATCTCCTTTTACAAAATAATTATCAGTAGATATTTTAAACCTAACCTAAAGTATCACACAAAAAAGAAAAAAAACTTAAATATCACAAAAAACTTAAGAGCTAAAGCTAACTCGATAAGTACTCCCTCAGCTGATTTTTAAACCTAAACCGACTAAATCCCAAAAGATAAGTGTGTCTGTTAATTTCATTTCCTTGCCTTTGAAATCTGGTTAAAGGACTGTTGAGTCCGTAGTTCGTATGATGGAAGCTAATTGAAAATAATGGTTTCTCTCTATTATTTATGTTGTTTAATCTAAAGTTTATTAGCTCCAACATATCCGGACAAGCTATATTCCCTTCCAGAAGGTTATAAAGAAATATCATTACTAATTAACGTTTTCTCAACTGACAATAAGTTTAAATTGTTATTAAGCTCCCTCTTAGAAAGATAAGGCATATGTAACCTCCACTGACAAGTTCTTAGAAACCTATTTTGAACTGCTTCTAAATTTAAAATATGAGTCTGGTAATGAGGTGACCAGACTAGTAAAGTGTTTTCAAAATCCATAGAACCAGCCCTCATTAATAAAAGGGTGATAAGCTCTACTGAATTTCAGCTCTTAATTTATATTCGTCTAGTTGTAGGAATTTTTTAAATATTTAATTTTATGTTTGCAGTATACATTTTCGGCCAATGTTGAAATTTGGTATCTTTTTGACTTAATGTATATGCCCAATCACTTTAAATTAAAACGTTCATTTTATCCTATTTTAAGATTTTTCTGTTTTTTCGAGAATAAGATACTATGTTCCTTTTAATGGTATTTTGCTAAACTATTCAATTTAAACACAAGTAACGAGAACACAATTAGCCCCACATTGAGCTAGAGGGTAGGGAAACATTCAAAACGGGATCACTGGGCTAGCCAATAATAGCAGTCGGACTTGTGGGTATCATGCTGTGGTCATGGGACTAGTTGTGTTTACATGTTACTTGCATTTAAGTTGAATAGAAAGTAGTTAAATTTATTTTTTGCATGACTTATTTCTTATTTAGAAAATCATTTTGCATTTATAAATATGCTTTGTTCATTATGCAAAAAAATGGAGAGTACCCAAAAACGTAGTTCCTCACTAAGTTACTTATTATGAAGAAATTAAACAAAAGTCTTTTAGAGATCAAAGTTTTTAACTACCAATGAAATCAAAATGGTATCTGGCTCTGAAACAACATTTTGAGACAAATTAAGTCTAATAATATACATATCTGTGTGCACTTTATACTTAAAGAAACAGACAAAAGGTACAAAAAAAAATTTAATAAACCATGAAAATACATTCAACATCAAAATGTTGTTTGTTTCAGAAATTACATTTCATTTAAAAAATTCATACATATATTTTTTAATAAGGTATTTAAGTAACTAGATTTTATGAATGGAATGAAAGATCTAAAAAACCCAAGTCAAAGAAAAAAATTAATATATTTTGTTAATGGGCTCATTCACCGTCATCGTACGGTTTTGTATTATTAAGAATCAGTGTCGGTGAACGAGTAAACTCGAAACAGTTTATTAAAACATAAAAGCACAAATTAAAGTCGCTTCTAAGTTTAACAATCAACAAAATTTTACATTTGACACATGTTTTGTGATTTGTAATGTTCGTTTTGCATTTAGTTTTGTCAAATACGCCAAATGGGAACTAAAGTAAAGGAACTGTGACAGTGTTATTTGAGCAAGTTAAAGTAAAATATGTTGTAACATATTTTACCGTAAGATAATTTCAATACGACTCAAAATAGGTATTTGTAATAATAAATGATAACTAGATTTATTTAAACAAACTCTATAACAATATGTCAAATGATTTTAAATTTCAACAATGTTCTTTGTTCGTTCACCTTCATCGCACCTGTTTAAATGAAGCATAGAAAAGGATTCATAATCAAATGAAACACGGCCATTGACTGAAGTGGTTTTTGAATGGAACATATTTTTCATTTGTTTTGAAAGGAAATGAGAGATCAAAACTATTAATAAAAATAATTTTAAAATGCAAGAAGCTTGAATAACAAGCTGATAATATAAATTAAAATGCCAACTAAAAAAACTGACCATCCATGCAAAAACCATATAAGTCATCATCTTATATGGTACTTGCAAGGAATACAAAAATTTAAAAAGGTTTATTTATGTAACAGTTAATGTGATTTGTGTGTTTTGCACATAAGATGTAAGTACTTCTGATGTCTTTTCATGACATAAACCTAATTTTGCCAGAAGTTGACTTATGTGTTTTTTTAAATGAGGATTCAATTTATAGTGGGCTTACTACAAAAAGTGACCAAGTCAAATTTTATGAGATATAAGATATGACCAAATCACTTGTTAAACTCAGGTCTACAAAAAAAATTAGCTTCATCATATTGATGGAGTTTATTTAGTACTTTCAGGTAGTATAAATGTGACTTGGTAATTTATATTTTGATAGATTAGACTTTCACAAGTGACTTGGTCATAACTCAAATCACATAAAATTTGACTTGGGTAATTTTTCACAGTAAGCCCAGGATATGAAGGACGTTTCCTTCATACTTTTAACTCACATTTATGACTACCATTTCAGATATTTAATTCCAATAAATCATATAAAGTGTACAAGAAAGTACTAAACGACACTAAATTTTCATTCTGTTGCTGCAGTTATCTTATTACTAAAGTAGTGCGTAAGTCATTCATTTACATTGCCATCACTTACACATTGCACCATCTATTATTTTTGTTTATGTAAGTACCTACACACATTGAAACCAACAATTATTTTAATTATTAATTTTCAACGTTGATATATTTTGAGAAAGAGAATGTTGTTGATTTGTCATTTGGACAAAAATCATTCATTCTCTATAAATGTTATAATGCTATGAGACTCACCTAGAAATATTCAAATCTTCACCTACTATAAAGCGGACGCAAAATTATCACAAAGTATATCTAAACCCAAAATCATAAATAAATCAGTTTCTGCCAGAGTTTTTGATGAAATTTCGTTGTTTCAGCTTTTTCTCTATCGTGACAAAATAGAAATGGCGGATGATGGCGTTATAATTATTGACATTATGACATTTGACATGGCGTCTCAATGTAGCCAATCGCCAATCCAACTATAAACCAAATCTCCAAAGGCTTTTGGCACAGCTTTATTGTATAAAGGCTGTATGTCACGATACTAAATTAAGTACTAAATTTAGAACTAAATTAATGCATTTTTTAAGTACTAAAAAAATTCACGTTGCAAACAGCAAATTTAGTACTAAATTTAGTGCTAAAAAAAGTCATTAATTAAGTACTAAAAGTGCGCCGAAATGTTGCGCAGAAGTTTTTCATAGAAAAAGTTCACACGACGGTATTTTCTGTACCCTTTTATTTTTAATTAGCGACAATTTTACATTATCGCCTTGAATAAAGTTCGCTTGTTTGATTTTGTAGGTTTTATTGTGTTTTTTTCGTGGTTTTTATGCTGTATTTGGTTGTTGTCAAGTCAACTATACTCTGTTTTTAAACTAGGAGGAGCGAATTGAAAAGACGCATTTACACAGGGAAAAGTAACTAGATTTGTTACTAAGAGCGAGTTTCGAAATATAGTCGTGTTCAAAATTTATGAAATAATTATCTTTATCGGCCTTAGTCGGTGAACGGCCAATTAGCGGTTAAGAAACGAATAAATGTCATAGAAGTAATTTTTTAATTGGTTCCAGACAACGGTCGCAAATTTCACATTATTGTGATCTGAAATGTGTGTCTAAAACGAAATGTCACTGTCAAATTAAGGTCAATATGGTTGTTGATTGATGTCAGAAATACTTTTTTCTTGCTTTTGAAATCGACTTTTTGAGAATAACTATGATCTTTTTAAAATGAATATTAAATATTTAAGAAAATTGTTAATGGAATATCCAGATGTAGCCAGGTTAGTATAAAATATAAAGATCTGTTTACATTTTTAAGGATATATTTGTTATAGATATAAAAAGTAAAAGTTAATCAGTGAATGACAAGTGGATCACACAGTAACTGGTATCTCTTCTATGAGTAATGTGGATATTATGGCTTATTTAGTGTTAACCCATGGTTAATGCGCTAGAGGGCAAATAAAGGCATTCAAAAGTTTACAGGCCTATGAGTCAGAATTTGTTTTGAAAACTGGAACTAACATTTTCATAACACTACATGTCAACATATATTTTTTAAAGTGAACTATTCAGACATACCTATGTATTAATTTTAAGTATTTTTAAAAATATTTTTTGTGAAAGTAATGTTCTCATTGTGCCAAATTAAGATTATCCCTAAAGTAGTAGATGGTGTTTTAAATATTATAACAATTTTGTAAATACTTTTATTCTATTCTAATAAATAAAATTTGCTTGAATAGTTACATTTTAATCATTTTGGTTAGAAATTCATCAATTTTTAGTTTTAAAAAATCAGTAATAAAATTATTTTTTTCTAAAATACTTCGGAATTCATCTCTTCATGGTAATCTCCCATCTTTTTACCTTCAAAAACCAATAATACATTTTCTACAAAACCTTCAGAATCAGCATGATTGTAAAATAATAAGGTGTCTTCCCTTTCTTGTAAGGCTTTTCAGGAATTGCTACCTTTAATAGTACTCAGTGTAGAAGGATCCATAATTGTAGATTTTCAATACAATTTCTTACTGAAGAACTATTATTTACGAAATAAAGTAAAAAAAACTAAGTAATGGATGAGATATCAAATTATAAAATGTCAGAACTGTCAACAATATCAATTATTAGCTGATGTTCATGCTAAAAAGTAATGTGTGAAACTGACTGTAATCTGACCAATCAGAAGGCTACAGAATTGCCAACTTAAATTCAAATCGCTCCTCTTAGTTTAAAAACAGAGTATAGTGTCAAATTGATAATAAAAACACCATTTACTTGTCTGTTTTACACATAATATTTCATTTCTCTGTTAATTTTACGTATTAATACGTCAATGCGCGTGCGCCTATAGTAAATTTAGTACTAAAAATTGGTATCGTTGCAAACGGAAAAAAAAATTTTTAGTTCTAAATTTAGTACTAAATTAATAACTTAATTTAGTGCTAAATTTAGTACTTAATTTAGTATCGTGACATACAGCCTTAAGCTGTGCTTTTGGTTCTTTCGGAAACTGATGATTATACTCGATGATGTTGGTATAACCTCTCAACGTGTTCTTGAAAAATTAATTAATTAATTCGTCCACTGTTTGAACTAAAACAAACCCCATATTGAAAATGAAAATAAAATATTTTTTGTTTGAGAATCCACATCGGATGCATTTTTTACATCTCGAGCGTTTTTTATCCACATCGGACACATCTGTCCCATTACATTTACGTATACTGAATCACAGACCTTTTATATATTGTTTTACTGAATCATGTGATCAAAGATTTACTACATCTCAGATGCATCCGATGTGGGACGTTATGTTTTTATAAAATATAGGCTGCCATTTTTTGATACCATGGCAGTTAGATAAAGACGGCCAACGAAATTCAAAAGAAAAAACCAACTAAACTAATGTTGGGAACAGTGCATCACACAAGTCAAAGGGACACAGATCCTCCATGGGCGTATCAAATAGTTTTTTCATCGGAATACAAAGGATTGTTTTTTAAATATTTTATCAGAGACAAATTTAAAGAAGAATGCAACTCAAAAATAAAATTTTATTGTAAAGAAAACAAATTTTGCTATTTTTTTAATCAAATGTAATGAATGATATTTATGAAAAAAAGGTTTCAAATGATAACACTGTTAATATATTGTTTATATAGTATGTCCCCCTAGGTTGGAATCATATGCGGAAAATCAAATGTAATGAATGATATTTATGAAAAAAAGGTTTCAAATGATAACACTGTTAATATTGTTTATATAGTATGTCCCCCTAGGTTAGAATCATATGCGTAAAACTTTTTTATTATTAATTTAAGGAAAAAAAGTTATTCTTCATAAAAAGTTCTGCATTATCTAAAACCTAGAATACAGTCATTAAATATCAATTATTTTCAGTGGTATACGAGGTTTGTCAAAAAATATGAGTTTTACTCAAGAGTAAAGTACATTTATTCTTTATACGACTGATAAAATTTGAAATCAGATATCCATGATAGTTGTATCACAGCTTAACAATACAGCTAAAACACTCTCTTGGCGGCAACGGTTTGCGTCGATTTCGTCGCGCATCGCTTAAGCTCCGCCTTCGAAGGGAAAAGACGGTTTTGGCGTTCAGAAGCGTACTTAGGCAAGGTGTTGAGTCGTGCGTATAATTTCGTTGATTGTATAATTTCGTGGATTTTGTTTGAGTTAAAGGTACTGTTATTATTTTGGTGACTCTTTAGCTGTGAGTAGAATGAGTTTGTGCAGTCAAAAGCTGTTTTAATAAGGGTTATACCTGCAAGAAAACATTCTTTAGTTTTCCCAAGGACCCAAACCGATAAGTACTACATTATAAGAAATTTTCATTGTTAAAAATATAATTTATACAGGGTGTCTCATTAGTGCGTTATTGTTCATTATTTTGTTGTAGACACGCAAGAAAGTTTTAAATAAAAGTTATATGGATTTGAAAAATACCTACATATTTTAAAAATATCTTTGGATATACAGGGTGTCACGTTTTTGCCTGGAAAATTAAAATGTATGTTTTTTAAATGGAACACCTTGTATTCTATTTTATGATGAAATTATTAACACCCTAAATTATTGTAAAGACGAATTGCTACAGAAAAATTTTATCAGGTAGGTATGTGTGTGGTTACCTTTTAATAAAAGCCTTGCGGATCCACTCCTGCGATACCTGTCTTAAATATAACAAAGATCACGTTGAATTAGACGATTTTTCTTTTTATTGCTTTTAAAAGGCATATGATAACGCCAATTCAGATACATTTGGAAATCTGCAACTGTCAAATGATGAATTTGTAGAACTAATATTCAATATTGAAAAGATATTTTAAAATAATTTTGAAGAATTGGCTACAAAAAATAACATTTGTACCACACTTTTAGAATTAATTAACCCAATACCCTTTAGTCATCCATGCTAACGTTTTCCAAAAGAATAACTTATTTTATTGTATGTTTAATCTCAATAACTAAAAAATATACTGACAATTAGTTTGACAGAATTGTCATTTATTTAAAATTTTAAAAATAATAGCAGTCGGTTGATCAAAATATGAACGGTGATTGGCGAATTTATTTTTTTTTGCAGTGTTCTCACTACCTAGAATGGATATGAAATATATTCGTTCAATTGAAGGCAATAGCATACTTTTTCGTTTTGTAATCTGTGCATGCATGGATATTAGCCAATCTACGCACATACTACAAAACGAAAAATTATGTTATTGCGTTCAACTACGAATATATTTCATATCCATTTTAGGTAGTGAGAACACTTTAACAAAATTAAATCTACAAATCACAGTTCATATTTTGGTCACCCAACTCCTATTATTTAAAAATTTTTAAATAAGTGATAATTCTGTTAAACTAATTGTCAATATATATTTTAGTTATTGATATTAAATATACATTAAAATTTTTGTGTAGACTCGATAAATAATAGCATTTTTGTTTTTATGTCCACATTTAAAAAAAAATAAATTTTAATCAAACTACATGATACTAATTTAATTACGAGTATTAAAACTAAAGTTCTGAAAGTTTCGGTGAAGATGAGGACAGAACATCTGCCTTCCATGCGAAAAGCCCGGGATCGAATCTAGGCCGAGGACTAATTAATTTTTCATGTTTATTTTATTTTATAAATTAGTCAACTTCGTAAATTATTTTAAAATTAGTTATTTTGTCTAAATAACCTAAAATAATTTTTTAAATTTGTAGATTTTCGTTAGTGGGTCGTAGAAAAAATATACTGACCATATCGAGTGGATTGTTCATATCACAATCAGACGATTGAGTACTCCGCCTACGACGTCGTGCTCAAACTTCGTCTTTGTGTGATATGGCTATCATATCCACCCTTTTGTTGAACAAACTACAATTTATTTGTTTTCTTGGTTTAAGTTTTACATCAGAAATAAGAACTAAATTAATTTACTTTTCAAGTTTTCTTGTAAAAATCGATATTACTTTCTCCAAGTACAAATTTAGTACCTACCTAAAATAAGTACTAATTATGTAATATCGTGTAATATTGTAATTCAAATTTCACATTACTATAAAGTTTCAAAATTCCCTACTTCGGTATGGTCAGATAAAAATTGAATATATTATATTAATAAAAACTGTTAAAGTATTACTTCTACAAATCTGTATTTCAATTAATAAGAATACATCTAAATATAACCAATATTGTTAAAATAAAAGCACAAATTCTTTATAATTCCAAAATACCATAGAGTTCCCAGACCTCAGTCGAAGCATTCGTTTATCTAGGTATAAACCCTTTGCGCGAAGAGTAACACTTGCCAGAGACACGGGGTACCACTTGCTTTGCATCCACGAGCGTGACACATTTCTTTAACAATTGAAGCCCTTGGTGTAAAAAGGATCCAAGTCACAATTTGTCGTGAAGTGACTGTTTTAGCTCAAAACATTTGTTAACGAGGATTTTACTAGCCACATACAAATTATTTTACCTCTAATCCGAAAGATGTGCTATTTTTCGTAATATTTATATTTAAATAATTTTTTTAATTATATTTGACAGATTTAAAACAAATTAAAAATTTAATTTCCCAAAACTTACTTAACATGGCATGTAACCAACCTTATTACGTCAAGGTTTTCAATAATAAAAAAATTGCTTAATCCGGGCCCGACTTTTCCCTTTAATCTAACAGAGATAGCACCATTCCGTCTTGCTTGGTTCTCGACCGCCAGATCAAAGACGCCGACACGGAGTTGTGGAGCTGTATTGTATAAGCTGTGGTTGTATTTTAGGTTTTAGACCATGCTCGACTTTTTATAAAGAATAACTTTTTTCCCAATATTAATAATAAAAATATTTTCAAATGCCGCCAATTTACGTAGAAAGTTGGTGGCATAGGAAAGCTTTTTTATTACTAATTTTAGAAAACAAAGTTCTTTATAAAAAGTCGAGCATGGAGTAGTATTCTCGAATCACGAATACCGACATTCGCATACGTGTTTTACAATGTGTCTCACTTTGTTGAACGAAAACCAAGTGAGACAAATCATAAATCTCGCATGCGAATCTATATTCGTGACTTGAGAATACTACACATGGTCTAAAACCTAAAATACAACCATCAAATATCAAATTTTATCAGTCGTATAAAGAATAAATAAGGTACTTTACTCTTGAGTAAAACTCATATTTTTTGACAAACCTTGTATACCACTGAAAAAATTTGATGACTGTATTCTAGGTTTTAGATAATGCAGAACTTTTTATGAAGAATATTTTTTTTTCCTAAAATTAATAATAAAAAAGTTTTCTATATTATTCCAACCTAGGGGGACATACTGTATATACATGATAATTAATAATTGTTTTGTTATAATTGCAATGTAATTTGTTTGTGGTGGGGTAAAATTAGCCCATCTTACACGGTTTTGGTGGGCGACGGAAATGTAAAATCGACTACAGCGCATCCCCCACTTCATAAAAATTAGATTGCGGCGATTATCCGTGATAATTAATTTGTTTTATTTGCAAAAAAACAGTAATTAAATTATATAATCTGTACAAACTTAAGAGGGGTATCTCTTTTTCTAAACGATCAATATTGCAAAATACCGTCACTATAAAGGGTTGTAAAGGGTGAAATAAGTTATCTTTGTTTACTAATATTGGGAAAACAAAATAAAAAACATATAGAAAAGTTTACTTATAATTATTATAAAGTACAATCTTAATTAAACTTAAAAAACTCCATTTTCCTTTCTGTTAAAGATATTAAAAAACTACCATTACACGTTTTAATTCCTTTTAAATCAAGCACAGCCTCACGAGCAGGCAAAGAACACGTTTTTTGGCCTGTATTAATGTTCCACAGAAAAACACATTTGTTGGACTCTTCATATGCAGCCACGTACTCCTGTTTATCGAAAACAAAACACGATTTAGACAATAATTTCTGCATACCTCCCCCTGAAAACGTGTGGATGATATTACAATTTACAGTTCCCTCCAAATCTTTACTTAAATTACATAAGGAATGTCTAGAATGAGATATTAAGTTATTAGGCCTAGAGGAAATGAGCATCTGTCTTGTTTCATTGTGGTATTTCATACTAACGAATGGTCCATTTAATGAAATTGAATGTTGTGTATAATCGTTTCCCTCATTTTCAAAAACCCATAATGAGTTTAACTTGCACGAAATTACACCACCAAGGGGAAATTCTGTACCAGGAGCTCCAGAAATTGAAGCTATTGACACAACAGGGGACATGTCACCAGGAATTGATAAAGTAGAAATTGGTTCACCCAAACTACGAACATCATATTTGACTAAAGTACCAGCTTGAGTTCCCACATATAAATAATTGTGATTATCTTTATCCCAACAACACGACCACAGTGGCATCGTTAAAGATGAAGCAAACAGAACTTTGTTGCTTGAAAGGTCTGTAACTTTAAAAGTTTTGTCCATAGATACAGTTAGCAACCTATTATTGACAGCACAGTAAGATATATCTCTTATTTGTTGCTGATGAAGGGGGATAAATGCTAGTGGTTTGTATTGAGACATATTTATTTTTCTGATGCCAAATCCTGCAAATAAGCTATTTGGAGACTTAGATGAAACCATAATCAAATCTAAAATTGTACTTGAATCAAATACTCTGCACCCATTTTGTTTGCATATTTCCAATGACTTTTCCATATATAGCTTTGAATGAGTATTAGATGTTTCTTCATTCAACCTAATTTCTGAGCACCTATAATTTGCTTCTTTACTTGTTAGTTCTTCAATCTTATTTTGTAAATGAGCAATATTTTGTTTGTATATCCCTTCTCGGCAAATGTACTTGGATAAGTCCAGTTGAATTTTATGTTTTTCTTCAATCACTAAATTTAATTGATGTCTTAAAGCTTCTAATTCGGAATTGTCGACAGCAATTAATTTTTTGGCATAGATGAATCGTATCTCCTGTTTTCTGGCTCGTTTTTTGCATGTAGGACAAGATTTATGTTGCTGAGTGTCCAACCACCGTGTTACACATTTGTGACAAAAGACATGGCCACACTTGAGTGAACATATTCTGTGCTCTCCCGAATTGGTCCAGTTATCGAGACATATTGGGCAAAGTGTACCCTCCTCATCGTCTTCATAAGGTTGGCTTCGAGTTGTGGCACAATCTGAAGGAGTGGCATTGGATTCAACTAAGTTATTATTAGGGGTTGAGTTTATATCATCTTGTTGAAAATTCGTTTGACTTATTATTTCGATTTCACCTGAAAAATGAGTACAAAATGTATTCAATAAAATAAGTCATCCTAAAGAGTTAAATTTAGTTTGTCATACTTCATACATAATATTGTTGCTTAGATAACGATTTTTCACCATTTTTGAATTAAATAATGAGTATAAACTAATGTATTGCTATGTGTGAGAAAAAGCCACTGTTATACAGGGTATTTCCATACATCCATTCTTGTTTTGTCTTTTGATTTTCTTTTATGAGGACAAGGAAAATCTGTTACACAAAAAAATACATCAAAATAATCTAAAATTAAATGATATTTTTATCACTTCTAAAAATTTTACCTACCCTCGAACTATATTATGTTTAACTGCCTCTCTGATGAGTCATATTTATTTTTTCTAGATTTTAAATATTACTATATAGCAAGTGGTTTAGCAATACCTCATATGTGCATTATTTGTGAAAATTCATATTTTGGTACCATAAGCACCATCTAGTTGCTCCCTACAGGGTTGCCAGATCTTTGTAATGAAAAAGCGGGACACTGTCGTTGACCAAAAGAGCCACACATTTTTTAGAGCCACGCTTAATTTTGTTAGGAATTCAACCAAAACTTAAAAATGAGGACAAAAAACAAAATATTCTTTATTAGAATAATAAAATAAATGCTTTACAATAAAACAACAGAAGACATCATTATTTATACCCTACATATACAGGGTGTTACTTAATGATAGGCAGTAATTCCAAGGGCGCATGCTTGAACCAAGTAGAAAAGTTTAATGATCGAAGTTAACTTGATCTTATTGTTAATTTTAATAAAAGTGGTTTTTATTTTTTCCTCAAAAACGAAGTAAGATAAAAAAGTTGTATTTTTAGCTGCTTGATCGAAAAAAAATATATAAAAGTTGAAAAGTCAGTGGCGTACATATTTTTGTAAATATTATTCATCGCGACGCCATTGAAACTCATATCTTCTAGTCAGTGTAAACTTAGCATCTTATCACAATGAAGAACACTGCCAAATTTCAACAAAATAGAAAAATGGATCTTTGAGATATTAATAAAAAACCTATTCCTTTTAAACTTTGACACCTGTATCTTGAAAACCAGACTTTTAAGAAACATTTTTATATAAACGTTTATACTTGAAATACAATGCGCCCTTGGAATCACAACCTATCATTAAGTAACACCCTGTATAAATAAACATTTCAGAATAACACATCAGAAAACATAATTATATACACCCTATATGGTAGTGGCCATAGAACATCTTCCAATACTCCTTGACACAAGTGTGTGAAAACTACAGAGCCACCACTAAATGTTTGACCTAAAATGCTTGAGAGGCCGGAAAAGTGTGAAGTGTGACAAATAATACGTCCGGAAAAGTGTTGCATTTTCTGCGACATCTGCAAGAGAGTGGAAAAGGCGGGAAAACCGGGACAATTTACGTGAAAAGCGGGACTTGGAATTATTAAAAAAAGGCGGGATAGATTAGCAAAAAGCGGGACTGTCCCTCCTATGGCGGGACGTCCAGCAACCCTGGCTCCCTACAAATTTAAAATATCTCCTGGATGTAGCAAGCTGTTAAAATACATTGTTGCCTAATAATGAATACCTTGTACTTATATGTATGCACTTCTATAAGAAGTTCTAGGATGTTTTTGTGTCTACTGATAATTTAGTGATTTTACACATAGATGTTCGTAAACCAATGACGATTTAATCCTGTAAACTATGTAAAGATTGCTGGTGCAGACATGTGCATTAGAGGACACTAAACTACTAGGACTCAAGATATTCTACTTAAAATGACCTCCATTTTAAGTAGGCCACCATGTACATTTAGTGCCAAAGGACACATCTAACCATATATAATCTGGGGTATTAAGAATACTTACTTGTAGTCCCTGGTGCCTCGATATTAACATTAGTAACTGCATCCTCTGTTATTACAACAGTTTCTTCATCATTTTCACCATTGTCAACTTCCATACCAGTCTCATCAACTACAAGGAAAACAATAACATTGAAGGACTAATAGGAATAGCTCAATTGACATTTTCAGCAAAATTGAGAGAACTATATATTTTCTCTAGTATTTGCTTTTGCTGTGAACCTAACCATTGATTTCAAGTCACTTGTACTAATTTGCCTATAAATTGCATGATTAAAACATCTTCAAAACTAAGAATTTAAGAATAATATATACAAGATTTAAAAACCAAAGTTAGCCACTATAACATATCTTATTTACGTTAGATTAGTAAATCAAATTAAAGACTTTTTTATTTTAGTTTTTTAGTTACTTTTACCAATGTGTACTACTTAGATAAAAACTTGAATAGGTCCATGGAAAATGCATTAAATTACCATTCATTTCAGTACTTTTGCTCTCGTCTCTTAACGCTTTTATTAATTTACAAATCAAATGTGTAGTTATTATTAGTAACTATTTCATAAAGATTTTATGATTTCATTAAAATATAAATTTCTGTTGACGGTTTTTTTTTTTGTTTTTTGCCTCTTTTGCATTTATATATCATATGTATGTCATTGGTAAATGTCAATGTCAATATTGTCAATGCCAACACAATTTTTGTCTTTATCTTTAAGTTTGGGAAAGAAAGACAAACATTATTAAATTTACTCGGAGTTAAACAAACGAAACAAATTATACGTATTTACGTCATGCTCATAGATATGAGAGGAGGGGTCATGCTTCATGCATTTACTTGGAGTGGATTTTCGATTTTTATTTCAGAACCAGAACTACTCACTCGCGCATAGTTATCTTTATCTATTTTCATAGCCCAAACAAAATACAAAATAGAAAGAAACAACCGTAGATCAACAAAGAGTAATTATGAAATAAGTTATTTATCTCATTTATGGAAAAGAAGAGAAAATGGAAAATTGAAGTGTAAAAAATATGCCATAAACTTTCAAAATTTCATATTTTTATAAAAGACGTGCAAAATATTATTAGTTCGAGAAATAAATCAGTATACATATTAGTTTCATTTAAAATATGGCGAATATTGCTGCACAGAGAATAAAACGAGAATTTAAGGAAGTTATTAAAAGTGAAGAGGTTATAATTTGTCCTATTGTATTTTATAATAATCCTTTGTGATGGATACTTATTAATTGATGTATATTTTCAACATATTCTGAGTTATTATATTTTTTTAGGTAGCTAAATGTGCTATAAAAGTTGAATTACTAAATGACAGTTACACTGAGTTGAAAGGAGAAATAGCTGGACCTCCAGACACCCCTTATGAAGGAGGAAATTTTGTTTTAGAAATTAGGGTTCCTGAAACGTATCCCTTTAATCCCCCAAAGGTATTTTGATGAATTTTTTACTTAGTTTTTTTATGAAATATATGTTTTTTAATGCAATCCATTTAAGTAGGTATTTCATTCCTAATTAAAGGGGACTGATGAATCTTATGTTAAGGTTAATGTTTTACAGTTTAGAGTTAAAATTTCGTATTTCAAATAATTATTTAGAAAGTAATCTTCATTTATCTAATTCTGCTTATTACTAGTCCGAATATTGTAGGTACACCGGAGATTAAAAATTATTTAGATAGATACCTTGAAGTAGATTCTATTCATATTTTCCATAATTTTTTAGAAAGTGACATTTTACTGAGATAGGTGTTTACCTATGTCCAAACACTAGTAGTAAAGTAGTTTTTAAACAAATTAATAAATTCGAGAAATTGGGGTATTGAAGTAAATTATTGGTTCAAAATTAATTTTCTTGTCTACCTAAAATAACATTTTCCCCTTAATGATTCTGCAAAGTAGATGTATCTTAAGTCCACTTTTATTGGAGTCAAAGTTCAAAAGACCTAATAAGCAGTTATAAGGAAAATGAACAACGTTTTTGCTATTTTCTACATTTTTATTGTGTATTCAGATATTATGTAACACCAAATACACTGTAATCAACTAGAGTGAAGAATTTGCTCAAAGTGGACTTAAAAAACACTTGCTAATTACTTCTAAATTCATAAAAATTTGATGAAGAGAGATATTATATTCAATCTATTATATTTTCCATTTAGGTTAGATTTATAACAAAAATATGGCATCCCAATATCTCTTCAGTAACAGGAGCTATATGTTTAGATATTCTCAAAGATCAGTGGTAAGATATTTTATCTATTACATCACTATTATTCTTATTGTTTACTCATTTTTCAGTTTTTTGTATCTTAAAATAGTAAGTTCAGATTGAGATTAAGTCAGTGTAGGTAATATTTTGTTTCTATCAAAGTCATAACTATTTTCAATTTTCACTAGAAGTATTTATTTCAGTATTTGTAAGTATTGATCTAGGTTTAATATCATAAATATTTTTTGTATCATGCTTTTTAATGCGTGTTTTTCATGTGGATATATTCATAATTATCTTAATGTTAACTTCATCTGATTTAGTGCTGTATGAACTCAGTGATTTATATAATTACAAAACAAGTAATGCATATTTGATCATTGTAGGGCAGCGGCAATGACCCTACGAACTGTTTTGCTCTCTTTACAAGCCCTATTATCAGCTGCAGAACCTGATGATCCCCAAGATGCAGTGGTAGCAAGACAATATAAGGAAAATTTGGAAATGTTCAAACTAACAGCAAAACATTGGACAAATGCTTATGCAGGAGGTATGTAGCCATTGAAATTATATTGTCTTAAATCCTATTATTAAATCTATAGCCTTAAATTTAATTTTCCACTATGCAGTTATATCCTTTATGGAGATATGTCAAAATATCCCCCTTTATTTTATGCAAGTTATATGCCATTTTAGTGATGATATAATTATGGTTCCACTATCAATTAAAGTGACTATAGATTTTTTGAGTGCGTTTTGTTCATTTTGTTTACCTAAATTGTATCGTTTTTTCACTTTTATAAATATATTCTTAAAGTAAGTAGATAACTTGCATTAAATATACAATCCTTTAGTTAGCAATTATATACTTATTTATTTATTTATTTATTTACGGGAAAACCCCATTTTACAATAAAAAATATATGTTATATGCACAAATACAAAATAAAAAACATCAAAAATTGTAACATGTAAAATATTTGATTAAAACATATTATTAAAACATTTGATTAACAAGGCAGACAATAACAGTACTTTCAAGTGTCATTAAGAAAGTGGTTAGCAATACTTCTTTTAAATGAAGGATATGAGGAACCAAAACTATTTTTTACGACCTGCAAACAATATTTATAAAAAAACATAAAACAGTAAAAACGTATATCGTCGATCTAAAGCACACATATTGTAACTCCAAATTTATTTATTTATTTATTATATGGGATAACCCATTAAAGAAATGTATACAATTTACAATATAAAAACGCAGGTAGAAAAATACTATTACTACCTATAACATTACTAAAACAAGACAAAAAAACAAAGTACAAAAGTGAGTTTTTACAGTAAATAATTAAGGTGAATTTAAATATACGTTACATATAAGTTAAGGATAAGTTAAGGAACATGTATCACATTTTTACAATTGGTTTGAAATTTGGCTAATCCCATATTAAAAATATATAAATTAAGATTATTCAACATAGACAAATATCTGTCAATAGGACTGTTGACGCCATAGCTCGTTCTATGAAATGGTATATTAAATGTTAATGGATATCTCAGTCCAATGTAATAAGGAACATTTAGGCTAATCCCGCTCAAAAGAGAAGGACAGTCTATAATTCCATTTAAAATTTTGAATAAAAATACTAAGCCAAATATGTCTCTTCTTTCCCTTAAAGGAAGCAAATTTAATTGACTTTCTATAGCACTATAATCATGAAATGTAATCATGACATTACTTTTAACTGCACATACTCTCAAAAATTTGTGTTGTACCCTTTCCAAAGTATCAGAATGATTTTGAAAAATGGTGACCACACAATTGAGCCATACTCAAGCACGGTCCTAACTAACGAGCAGTAGACCATTCTGGTGGCATCAGTGGAGAAGTACTTACAATTTCTTATAACAAATCTTAACATTTTTGATCCTTTAATAGATATTGAGTTTATATGTTCAACAAATGCTAGTTTTTCATCAAAAATGATACCCAGATCTTTTACTGTTGATTTGTATTCAAGTTGGTGATCATTAATAAAATAGTTTGTTGCTATCCTAACAGCTTTACGGGAAAAACTTATATAGCAACATTTATTTTCGTTTAAGTACAATTTGTTTTTATTACACCACTCTACTAAGCGATTCAAATCCTCCTGAAGGAGTTCTTGATCACATGTTCTCTACTGTTCTCCAATACTTGAGATCGTTAGCAAACTTAGCATATTGGCTGTACACAAAACAACCAACAATATCATTCACAAAAATGTTAAAAAGAAGAGGTGAGCTATGGCCCCTTTGAGGTACACCAGATGTAACATTAATTGTATCTGAGTAGTAACAACCTATTTTTACCCTTTGAATACGATCAGTCAATGAGCTTTCCCACCACAAAACAAAGCCTAAGTTGAAGCCAACTGAAAGCAACTTATTTAACAAAATATTGTGATCTACTCGATCGAAGGCTTTTGAAAAGTCTGTGTAGATCGAGTCGGTTTGTTTTTTGTCTTCCATGTTTTGAAGAACATTTAATTGATAGGTTGTTAAGTTTGAAACAGTTGATCTGTTCTGGGAATAACCATGTTGTTCCTGACAGATTAAGCCTTTACATTGCCGTTAGTTGTTTGCTAACTAGGCAATCAAATAATTTTGGTATAGCAGATTGTATACAGATACCACGGTAATTCTCGATGTTGTTCGTTTCCCCACTTTTGAAAATAGGAACAATATTGCTTACTTTCCAGATCTCAGGAAAAATAGGAACATTCCAACGATTTGTTAAATAGCAAAAATGAGGGTAAAACAATTGTGCAAACACATTTCTTTAATAAAAAGTTAGGAACACCATCGGGACCTGATGTTAACTTATTTGGAATATTTAAAATTTCATTGAAGATGTCAGATTTTGATATTACATTACTCCTTATATTGTTGCTTAGGCTCTCGTCTCTAGTTACATCATCAGTATTATCACTAATAGTGTATACAGTTTGAAAGAAGTCTCTAAATAGATTTGCAATATCTTGGCCACATACAGCCTCTTGATTGCCATAGAACATGGAACTGGGCAAATTGTGGTTAGAGCGTTTGTTGTTTATAAACTTCCAGAAATATTTAGGATCTTCTATCAACTTTGCATCTAGACCCCTAATATAATTATTAAAACAAATGTCAGAGAGCCTCTTACTTTCTGAACGCAACTAAGAAAATCTAACATTACTTTCATGTGACTGCTTTTTTATACTCAGAATGTACGAGATTTTTCTATCACAACGAAATATGTTAAAACCAGCACATTGTAGTTCATTGTCTGAAAGGTCAGCATTTAAGTTGCTTTCAACCATAACAATCACATCATAAAAACAGCAAGCAACTGTCTTCGTAAGTTCATGCAACTTGGTACGCAGACCACCAACATTCTGAAAATAGACCTTTAATGGGTCCTAACGTGTTTTTTTGACGTTTTATATCGACAACTGGTATACCATTAGAGTATCTAATGAATAGATTCTCCTCCCCCGCAGCTTTTCTATTTTCTAAAGAAGCCTTGGCTTTCTTGTAAGCTTCTTGCTGCATTGGTGTTTGATCAAACAATATTTTATAATTTGTTCCTTTCAGTTTTCTGTTTGATTTTATAGCATCCTTCACTATTTCCTTATTGCAGATGACTTTCAAAGGCCTTGGTCTGTTACCACCATTTTTGATTTATCCTACCTGAACAACTTTCTTCACCGAAGGGAGTTCTTGCTGCAGCCCCAGCTGATTGAACACATCTGACACCTTTTTATTGTCGTGGACAATACGCTCGTTCAAATTAAGAGAGGTCGACTCTGGAATATTATAGACCATTAAATTGTGGGCCTTAGTTGTTCGCTGGCTCACCTCGTATAACAATGATTCTACATTAACTGAGTTTTCATTCTTAAGTGTGCTTATTGTTTGCTTCAAAGTTTGTATTTCTTCCTCCATTTGAACGATTTAATGTTATTATGATCTTGGTACCAATTAAATCGCATTTTAGCCTTCTTTATTGGGCACAAATATTGTAGCTCCAACACCCACCAAACTACAATAAATTCAAAACTAGAATTAAGGCATTTAATTACACTTTCTAGTGCACATTTGTTGTAAGCACCATATAATATTTGTGGCTATCAGAAATTACTTACCAAAATTCACAAAAATTGTATTTCCATGATATAATAAGTACCATACAATATTAAATATTGTGCTCGTCAGAAATTACCTACCAAAATTCGCAATCATTGTATCTCCCGTTTTCACCATACCTATAAACAAGAGATACTTACCTGAAGGATCTGATAACGATAGTGATTGAAAATCTTGTAATATGTTTTGATATCCATACTAGACTGGACCAAAAAAATAAAACAATTTTTTTTCTTAGCGGAACTATGAAAATATTGTTCATGACGACAAAAAAATGTTCCTGAAAGTTTGAGCCCTTAATAATAATATTAAGAGGTGCATCATTGCATAAATTTCGGACTTGGTCAATTTTAAAAAAAAATTTCATCTCTTATCCTTGTAGGAAATTAAATTCCCCACAAAAAAAGCTCTCTTAGTAAATTTTCGTAAGACGAGTCTATTCTTTGTAATCGAGCCTTAAACATTGGTATATATTTTCAATTTTTCACTTTGCATTTGGGATTTCCAAAATGAACTTAAATATTAAGATTACAAAGAATAGACTCGTCTTACGAAAATTTACTAAGAGAGCTTTTTTGTGGGGAATTTAATTTCCTACAAGGATAAGAGATGAAATTTTTTTTTAAAATTGACCAAGTCCGAAATTTATGCAAAAACGCGACAACTGTTGAAAAATCAATAACTGCAATTATGCACATCTTAATATTATTATTAAGGGCTCAAACTTTCAGGAAAATTTTTTTTTTGTCGTCATGAACAATATTTTCATAGTTCCGCTAAAAAAAAATTGTTTTATTTTTTTTGGCCCAGTCTAATCCATACAATATGTATGACGACTGTGTTCAATTTGATCTGTTGCCTTTATATTTTAAAACTGTTCATTGTATTATTAGTTTACATAATAGCAGCCTATAAGTATCCACATGGTTACCTAACTTGTTAACAACTACTGTTCAAAAACTGTACGTATTATTAAATTAATAAAAATTATTCATAGAAAATATACCCATTGTTTTATTTAAATTTATAAATTATATTAAAAACTAATCAATACATTGGGTTCCATTATGATTTTTATTGATAAAAAAATAATATTAAATGTCTAGATTATTATCTTACATGTTGTAACAACATTACTAGCTTATTTTACTGCACGTCTTCATAAAATTGCATATAGTTTAGCAGGTTTAAATAAGGAGATACGATGATTGTTCTTTGAAATGTAGGGTACACATATTGTATCTCCAGTCCCTTTTTTTCAAACTATTAAAAAAATGCTCAATCAGTATATACAAACCCCTTAGAATCAATAAATATAAAAAGTAAGCTCTATTGTTTAATCTCAACACGAATTTGAAGTATAATTCTACTTAAGAGAACGTAGACACCTCGCCGAAGTTTAAATTTGCGATTGTCAAAAAATGGGTTTTTGGATATATGATAAGTGTGCTTCAGACGGACGATATGTCAAATTTATTGATGTTTTTGTTAAAAGTTAAAAGAATTAAATGTCAGTGAACCCAAAATGATATCACACTAAACTGGTGTATTGCATTTCATTTAAGTTTAAACATTTTTTAATTTAAATGTATGTAGATTTGTTATTTGAATTTTTTTTTATTGTTCTGTGGTTTTCCACGAGGTTTTCCCTTACCTACTATATGTTACTTTATTGAAAGGCACATCTCACGTGGTTTCTAATCTGTTTTTTAAGATTAAGTTATTCATTACATTAACTGATTTAAACAAAGTTTAAAATTGGACCAGATTATCGAGTACTCATTTGTTGATAATCTATTTTCTGTTGTTGAACTTGCTTGCATTGATAAAATATTCCTGAACTTTTCAGTTTTAATCATTATCTCCAATTTTTGTTCAATTTTCATTTTAGTTTGTATTAAGAATATATCAATAGCTTAAATTTTTAAATCATTATATAATATTCCAAATATGAGTTTAATTGGTTTATTTTTTTTAAATTTTATTAAAGAATTATATATTTCAGGACCTTTTGTAAATACCGATTGTGATGAAAAAATTAAAAGGCTCATAGATATGGGAATTGAAGAACACCAAGCTAGGGTAGCACTCTCATCTTATAATTGGGACTTAGAAAGAGCTACAGAACAGCTGTTCAGTTAGTAAATAATTATTTTTTTCTCCAACTACTCTCAATTATTTAATTTCATATTGTTTTTCATTGTAATATATTCTTTACTTTCTCTGTATATTTTTTTTTTATTGGAATATCTGCATTTTGTAAGGTTTAAAAATTATTCTGAAAAAGTCAGATCTTGTCTTACGTGGAAATTATAAAATAATTTCAGTTCAAGAATGACAAAACCATTTGTTAACTGATGATTTAAAATATATTTCTTGTGCCCAACACTGTAGATTCAAAAATAAATATGAAACTGTTTGGTTCTGATCGATGAACAATTACTAGACTAATTTTGTTTACAAAAATCGAATTGCAAACATTCACAGTATTGTTACAAGGACTGTTTATGTTTATAATTCGGTATTGACTAAACATAAGGCTCTAGGGGGTCTATTTTGTAAAAATTAAGCCTGGGTTATAAAAACAACTGGATATTATTTTTAATTTTGTATTTTGTATTATTATCTGTCAAATATATTCTTTTTCTTATTTTTAATGCTGCGTTTAGGGATGCGCACGATATACCGATGTTTAAGAAACGTCGATTTTTATTTATTGTCTTTATTTGACAAATCTACAACATTTGCTCAAAGAAGGCGAAGATTACTAGCAAGCTACTCTTTAACTCTTAACCTTATTTGGTAACAGTCTAAATATAAATACCCCAGTATATATACCAATCAGTATTGGCCACATACTTTGATTACTATATGGGGCAAGAGAGAGGTCCGACACGCCCAACATAGGGCGCGGCCATTTTGAACCCTATGACACAGTTTATAGCTAAAGAATCAGATCGCTCACTCTATGTCGGCACTTTTTATCTCAATGTTCCAGTTTATACACTGCGCAACTCAGATAATACAATATATGACAACCGCATATAAAACAGCAGTCTTCTGCGTATCCTGAATTTGTATTCTTGGAGTGGATGTTATTTTGGAACTTTCAACTGGTACGAGTGAGCTAACTGATTCTTTAGCAATAAACTGTGACTCCAAAAATAATATTCACTGACACTGACAGCAGCAAGCAAAATATCAGGTGCGTTTTAATCATCCGCTTCTGCTTCCAGAATTGTCGGTTCAGTCGTTCTAACCTTTCAGATTAAAACAAGAAAATCGACAATTCCGAAGCAGAAGCGGATGATTAAAACACACCTATATGTAGCCAATGTAGCCAAGATGTAGCCAACACGTAATAAGGGTTCAAAATGGCGGAGTTTTCTATCTCCTTTTAAAAGGCACTCAGAAAGCTGCGCAGTGCGACCATTCTCCGTATAGTAAAAGAAAATCAATCAAAGTATGTGGTATTGGCACTCTGAGGAGGCACGTTTGATCTTTAAAAGTAGAAATTTTAGTTGACACTTGACGTTTTCGGGATATAAAAAGTTTTCTTTACACGGACTTGGTATACCTGGTTAGTTGAATTTTTGTTCTGCTGCTTTTCAAATTCGTGTGTATGAGGGAGATGTGAGATACCTTTATAGACAACGGTTGAACAACTTAATTACTTTGAAGAAGAAAATAGATTAGATATCAGGGCAGTCTTCGCAAATGTAAGATGGACAGAACCGTTTTAAATTTTTTTATATATGTGAAATATTACTTTTTGGTGAAAACTTTAATTACTTTTGGTTCAAAATATAACGTTAGTTTTTCAAGGGAAATATATAACACAAGGTTAGAGTAACAAAATAGAGGTATTGCTTTATTTCTTAAGAAGTCTAATCTAAAACTTTTCTAGTATATTGTAAAAATTTATTCTATACGTTATTTAGGTACTGCAAAATCTATAGGGAAGTATGTAGTTTTAAATTTAAAAATTTGTAACAGAGACATAGTTAGTGTAGTTGTTTTACAAATATATACTTGTTTTTGTGAATGAGTTCAAGTATGGCAGACTAAAATCGTTATTTTTTATTATGAATTAATTTGTATTTATTTTAAAATGGGAACTATATGTATATGGTTTTCGTAGTTTTTACACTTGTGATAAAAATATCAAAGTTGTGTATATTGGCCATTTACTACACACACTAATTTAAAATTGACTTTAAACTAAGTGACTACACACAGAATTGTTTGAAAGCAGCCATAAGTTATAATTTATTTATTGGATACTATAAAAAAATTAATAGCAGTTACATGTAGAGTAAGTAACAAGAAATTTAAGACCAAAAACAAAACAAACCTTTATATCTAGTGAACTTAATTTAGTACAGTCCTCAACTTTCTTAGGCTAACGTTATTAAAGATATCTCTTTGGATCTCGCTAAGAAACTCATTGGTAACAGCCATCATCTTGTTAAAAGGAGATATACTACTTGGATCTAAATCAAATACTTTTTTGTTACTTGGGTTTCTTAGATTAATCTTTGCCGCATTAACATTTATATAGTCAATCAATTCACAATCTTTGTACTTAAAATAGAGTACAAAATGTATCACAGCCTGTTGCTTTCTTCTTTGTAAAAGAGATTTAATCTTAAAACTATTGAGCAGTTTTATACGAGATCTTAGGTATAAGGGTACAAGTATTTTTTATGACATACCGTAAAAATATTTTTTGTACTTTTTCAATATGATCAATTTGTGTGGCTTCCAAGGGCATCCATATTTGTGAAACATACTCAAGATGGAGTCTTACTAAGGCATTATATAATCTGATTTTGGTGGTAATCCTAAATTTTTTTGTATTTCTGATTTAAAAACCTAATGCTTTTATTGCTTTTTTAGTTATGTGTAAAAAATGGTTATTGAACTTCAAATTAGACTGAAAGACAACTCCCAAATCCTTTACCTCATATCCACGATTTAATGTGACATCACAGGTCTTATTTCTAATGTAAAACATTAAGAGGCTATGGATCCTTACAACTTAAAATATGCATACGTAAGTGTTAAATAGACGGATAAAAAGTGTAATCTTTTTAATGGGTTCTTATTATAGTTGTAAATAAAAATCAAGAGCAATAGAACATTTCAACAAATTTCTATAGGTACACATATTTTTGATACCTGATAATCAATAAATAATATATTTTTTGGAGTAGCAACAGGTTTATTAATACACAACTATTATTTTGTTACAAATACTTATAATATTTATAATTAACATAATAGTTGATATAAGTCCTTTAAAAATAATATATTTTGATTTAATTGTTGAATTTATATATGAGCAATTTTCCTTGTAGCGTTGTTTACATTTTGCAGAGAAATATTGTATTCTGCTTTTAGCTGATAAATCATGTACATGTAAATGGGTTGAATGTAGACAATGTAAATGTTTTTGCTACTACTGCTGGCTAGGAATGCTGGGCTGGGACACCAACAAAAAAAAAAAGGAAGCACAAAGCATTAAATGTTTTTATCACTTATACACGTACAATTTACAACCATTCAAGTAACTAGTATGTTGGAAATACTTCACGAAACCATATTAAACATAAATCAGTCGAAAGCAATGTATTTTCTTTTTATAACACACCTTTTTAGCTTGATTACTTTTAGTACTCTATTTATTCCAATGTCCTCAAATAAAACGAGCAATAATAAGGATAAAACACACAATGAAGTGTATTTGGGGTATTTTTGATCTAAATCCACTATCAAAATAACAAATTTTCCGTTTTTAAGCTGTGAATGTATTACAAAAACTACTTCGATAAAATGTAAACAAAAGTTTATATTTGTGTACGAAATATGGGTTGCCTGCGCATGGTAGCGAGTTTTTAACCGGATTTATGACAAGTGATAGGTTATATCCCGAAAACGTCAGCGCAGTAAAAGCTGCGCGTCTTTTTCCCGCCCAGGGAGTGTCATGGGCCTGTAAATACATATTCAAGACATTAAAAAACAATTAGAAGAAAACAACATTCTTTAAACAAAAACATTTATAATATAATCAAAGAGAAGGAAAACAATAATATTATTGCGTACTGAGTAGGTTTTCTTTTATGTTTAGCTTATTTAAGTGGTAAAACCTATTATGTAATTTAGCAGCATTATATGAAAAAGATCTTTCAAATATACGAGAATAGTGCTGAGGCACTGTAAGAGTATTATGCCTAATATTTCGATAATGAACTGAATTTCTAAATATCGATTTTGCAAACAGATAGATGGGGGTTTTCGGTTTTAAAAATCTATATAAAAAGGTAATAAAGTTCAACTGAAATAAATTTTCAAGTTTTAACTACTTAAGTTGTGTGAAATAGGCAGATATGTAAATAAACCTGCAGCAGCCATTTTGGATACCTTGTAACTGCTTCCTGGATGCTTGATCTAGACATAGATAATAAATTTATTTAATTTAATTATTTATTTATTTGGACATAAGCCCTTTTACAATATTTACAATTTTCTTACAAATTTACAATGTGAAATCTAAAATAATTCAGATTTAAAACAATTATATATGCCTTATGGAAATAGTATTAATAAAAACAAAAACAAAAATAAAGATAAAATGAACAAAATATGTATAGATGAATCCATGAAGAAAACAGACTAGAAAATTGTAATAAAAATGAAAAGTAGTAAAACTAGTGGAAAGAACAAATGAAAATGGTCCAGAGTTAAGCACCTAAGTGATTGAACACTTGTGTTGTGCCACTCTAAACGATATACTGTGTTGTATTACATTAAATATAAATTAAAAATTAGTCTAGTAGTTTTTCGTCGTTGATTCCAATAGTATAGAGGAAAAAAAAACATTTTTTCACAATTTCTAATGAAATGTATAACTTTTGCCGGCCTTGGTTTCAACATGAGCCTGACCATCAAAGAGAATAAATTCGCTAAATCACATTGGAATCATATTTACTTAGAAACAATCAACGATCTTTTTTTTAGGAAAACTTCGTTCAAAATCAAAGTGGTATTAAAAATTGTTGTCTATTACACTCGCGCTTAAGTACCCAATAGAATAATAATTAGAAATGGTTACAACTAAGGCGGATAAGTTTAAAACTTCTTATAATGAGTAGATAGTTTCAGTGGTTACTTATTGTATTTTTGTTTTATATTGCTTAAAAATCCTGTAGAAGATTAGTTGGATTCTGT